ATCCTGACTTGGAAGGATCCCAACAACACCTGCCGCTCAGCCAAACCTGCAGTTGCGTAGATCGATCAACTGGTAGACTAAGAGTCCGAATGCGGTAGGCCTTTCCTTATATGGAATTTGTGGCACTCTTACAGGTTAAGTTCTAGCCGTCAGCCGTTTTTAAGTAAATGCCTAGAATGCTGTGCATGGGGACCGGGTCGTGTATGTGGCCCGGGCAGACAACCACTATCCATATGGCAGCTACTCCGCTATACCGCTGCATCAGAAAACCGGTCACCTGGGCAGTTTACCAGTATTTAAATTTGAAAAAGAGAGAAAACGGGCATTCTTCTCAGCCCATATTTCCCATTATAAGCACCTCCTTCCGCTTTAACCTATCACGGTGCGCTAGGCTTCAAAGGTTGCCAGCTAATGGGGTAACTCGGTCCTCCTCTCAGGACCGCGAGAGAGGCTGCATTATTTCTTTCATTTATTGGCCCTTACGGCACTCCCACGCCGTTTCGGTCCCACCCATCCTACACTTACTCCCTTCGGGCTGTGTGACATCCTAATAATTTTGGCGTGAGTCAGGAGTGTAGTGGCACACCTACATATTTGAGGGTTCACGCTGTGTCAGTGTCAACTATACCCGATCTCACCTGTGGTTTTCTTGACTCTGTCACCACACTGGACAGAGGTGGGAGCCGAGGAGAGACTTTGGCAGATACAGCACAATTTTACTTTCATTGTAAACTAACCCACGCGCAAGTTACCCTGCCTTTTTACCTTCAGTATTTTTCGACGGCAGCCGAGATTTACGGGGTTTTGTCTTCCCTCTGATGCCTTAAACAGTCACGGTCTTTGACGCGTACAAGAGCTGCGTTATGACAGCATCTCTGTAGTTCTCTATGGCTTGTTTAGTGGGGCGTTGCGACTGCCGGTGAAGGAGCGTTTCAGCTGACTGAATACCTAGCTGGTACTAGATATCAGCTTTGGATTTCGCGGTCGAATTTTGTGTTCCTTTAAATAGAACTCCCATGGTAAACGAATTCGTCCAGAGATGCGTGGTGCATTTTGCTGGCTTTTTAGTCGTCATTTTTAGCGGTTGACCAATGAGCACTGTCTTTTCCTCCTGATTATCACTCGTAGATGCTGGTTTTTGATACTCATCAACTTTCTTATAGCCAATAGATAATTAGCAGTGCTCCGTTGTGTTGGCAATGCATGTTGATACACCGAAGGGTCTAACGCTATGCCTCTATCGGCGTTTCGGATAATATGAGAGAAAATGAGGTTTTTTGCGTGTACAGCACTGCTTTACACCACTTGTAGCCTCCCGTGTATTATATATTTTTCAACCTTTACTCTACTACAATTCTCTGTCCGAATTATGTGACTTTGTTAACTTTGTTACCGTTGGTGCTGGTGACAATGACGGTGCTGATGATAATTATAATACTAATATTTATGTTAAGCCTCATCTACTTGGGAATTAGCGTGCAGACAATTTCGTAACATTTCTAAATTAATCCATTTTGCTGACGTTGCCTGCCGCTGGGAGCTTTGGAGGTGGTGGTTTGGATGGTATCCTGCAGATTTCTCTTTGGGTATGTGCTCCCAGAGTTTGCACTTATTCTCGACTGCGGTTAAAGTAGCAGCTGAAATTCAGACGACGTCCACATTTACCACGCCTTTCTGCATATAACTAGTTTGAGGTTGACATGCCTTGCGGCTACACGTGGGTCCTCGTCTTGGGAAAACCGAGACCGTGATCAGCTATTCAGTCAGCGTAGCACATTACCTTAGTCACACAACCGTCAGACCGGTCACGTTCCCTAACG